GCACATGTTTAGTCAAAGGATCGGCTCCACTCGTCCCTTTTACGAGTTCTTGTATGGTGCTAAGAATGGCAATAATCACTGACAATGTCGACTTTGATGCTGGCGAAACGTTTGTGAATGTACACCTCCCGCGATTCAACTTTGGAAATGATCATGCATACAATTGACTCAGGACTAGGTACGTTCCTCTAGTTTGTCCTGCCAATATGACCAAGTTGCAAAAATAAGGTCAAACATTTTCTATACAATAAAAGGAGACCACGATCACATAAAAAGCCATACCATCTTGCTCTTCATACCTACATAACATAGTTAAAACAATCAGCCAACTGAATAGGAGGATTGTTTTTGAGAAATTGATTCGGAAAGGCTTTAGCCCATTTATTATAAGTAGGAATAAGGAGAAATAGAACCTTTGGAACCACCAAATAAGTGCTACAGTTTGATTAAATTCATATATTATTAGGGATCTCTAACCTCACATTACTAATGTTCATTGCAAGCATACAGCCTTCGTGTGATTGGACACAATTGGATGCTTATTACTAAAAATGGACTATAAAAAACAAATTACTTTGTATAAATGACATATTTAGGAGATTTTTAAACATATTATATTGACAAGGCGGATGCGTATTGTAGTTTCCCTCGTTTGCTTGGCTTACTCGATGAACTTGCGCGTTCTTCGTATTTAGTTCGGCTCGTTGCTTTACTTCGCCGCCGTAGCCTCTTCAGTTCACCTGTAAAGTGCTTTAGTTACCCGTCATTTGCGTCTAGCTGTTTTTATTTTTGACTTATAAAGTCTGTCTATAACATGGATGTGTTGTAATGCCCTTTTTAAATTATGTTTGTCAGTGTTTATATTGATATCGAATTGAACACCCGCACTAACATTATGCTTGCCAGTTTCATTTAAATTTCTCTTATAATATATGTAAATCTTACTACTTTAATGAATTCTTCTGATATTATGACTAAACTTGTCCAAGGCCATCAAATACCGATCGGTCGCCGCTCTACTGGAGATACTTCATTTCCTCATAAGGAATCGTCCGATGATTATGATGAACCTGATCCAATAATCAGACTACGCCCAAGATACAACCATGCTTTGGGTCCTTATACCAAAGATCCTATAAGAAAATTTCAGAAGCGATCTCGTGGGAGACCAAGAAAAATGAGGCGAGGAATTTTAGATATCCAACCCTCCACAGGAGAACAATTACCGAATTCCCAAACATCAGAGTCTACTTCCACTGAACCAGTGACTATAGTAATTGATGATTCTGATGAGGAAAATGATGTGATTTTATTGGATGATTATATCGACGGGCCTCCCACTAAGCGCAGAACCTTGAGATCCAGCTTTGAGCACTCAAACTCACTCAGCGCCGATGTGAACATGCCAGTTTGGGTAAGTAATATCCTATATACTTAATTTATCGACCGGTGTTATACATTGAGTGGCTAATTTGGCCTTATCTACGTTTTCAGGTGTGATTATAATATTTTTTCTAGATTGATTCCATATATTTCACTTTTCACCACAGCTCGCTTCACTTCAATCGAGATATTTATCAAGCGATTTCTCTAATATCCCCGTTTCACTATTAAGTACATTATTT